AGCTTTGATTTCAGGACAGCCACAGCAAAACAATTGAAGGGTCCAACAGCTTGGGTTCCCTTAGGTTACATAGCCTATTGCTAAGATAAGTTCTCCTGCTCCTCTTTAGATAAGTAAGTGGCAAGACGTGAAATCTCCTGTTATAAATGTTAACACAGTACGTGTTCCATTACACGACAGCAGCAATGCATATCTCCACTTAAAAAAACCCAAATCCGCATAGCAGTTTGTCTGTCACGAGAGGAACAGTGAATGGAACACTCTACGCAAAGGACAGGGGCTGTGTATTTCTCAAACACAGTGTATGTCATGCTATAAAAATAAAATGCTAGGTAAAACTCAGTTTTCTTAGAATTGTAACGGGTTGACTTTAATATCACATGGAGTTTCCAGATGGTACCAGGCTACTTGTATCTCTGTACTGACATACCTCTTAGCACTGTGGTACCGTAAGAGTAGCTACCTGCAGCCATTAGTCACGAAGCTTAGGATTACTTCTAAGTATTCACCACAGTGGAAGTTGTAACTCTCCTTTTAAAAAAATAGTCAGGATCAAAAGGGAACTTTTTTTTTCAGCCAGTAGGCTTTTGGGTATGAAAATCAAACATTTTTTGCAGCCACTAAAGGGAATAATAAAAACCAGCAAGAGAAGCATGGTTTTCACAACTGAATTATCACTATTTTTAAGTGCTTTCATCCTTTTTAAAGAAAGCTGCTTAAAGTAATCTAAAGCCATTTTAAATCAAAAGAGAAAAATAATTTAAAGTATGAAATTACAAAATATTGCTTCTTATAACAAATGGATAAAAGTGTAACTAACTTGGTTCAGCATAGCTAAATATTATTTTTAAAAAGCATGGAAAATGTCTACTTTAAAAAAGTGTAAGACTACAAATGACCTTCTAAAAAGGTGCTGCAGTATGTCCTGCTAAATGTACCATGTTGGAAACAAATACATTCTTGAATATGTACTGAATTCAACTCTTATTTCTCATTGTGCTGTGGTCACTTGTACTTTTCATACTGACATACACTTCTTCAAACTAAGAAGAAAAAAAGTCTTAGTTGCACGTTACTGAATTTCAGTTACTGTAGTGCAACTAGGAATTCTGCTCTTTCTGGAATATCACACTGCTACATAGCAAGCTTCTCTGCAAGGAGCTATTTAATTGGATTTTCAAGCGGATGATACGTTCAGTGCAGTGAAGGGGAGGTTTTATAGCTGGTTTGACGTCTCAGACGAATCCCCAAGTTACTCTAAAAGCAAGTATTCTCCCAACTCAAAATGCTCCCCTTACTTAACTGGCCACACATTACTAACGCAAATATAAAAAGTGCTTAAGAATCAGGCATTCTTGATTATATAAAATGCACATCTAAACATCTTAGCTTTCTCCCCAAATAAGAATTTTTGGAACAAATTAAAGAAAAGAAGTGACCCAAAAATTAACATTTCAGGCCATTTTTTCCATATACTGAATCATTTGCCAAAGAAAGACTATTTCTTTGCCAAAGAAAGCCTCCTGTGGAATTGATGGTCATAACTGCTGGCTCTGAATTTTCAGAAATGAAGAGGAAAGGTAATCTTCAGGTGGGGTTTCTTTTCTCACATCAGTGGCTGTGAATCACCTGTTTGGGGGAAAAAAAAAAAGGAACATCTGAAAAGCTAAACGGCTGTACAAATACTCTCTGATCAATGTATTAGGCAAGTCCAACATGCAATACTGAGCAGCGTCTTCAAAAGCCTTGATTCTCTTTGCTCCCAGGGTAATGACACACTAAGTCTGGAGCCAGGACACACAGAGTATGACCAGGTCTTTTTTTGCCCTCTGGTATTATTCTTAGTGAACACAGATCACAATCTGAAGAGGCCCAAAATACTTGATTAGAAGACTACAGAGAGAAAAGCTTGCTTCTTATTCATTACTTTGTCCGTCACTCCCAGGAACCCAGGTTTCGCATTACTTACAGTACTCTTAATATACTATAGTGATTTATGTGTACCATTATGTACACACACACAGAGGCTTATGATACCTTTGATAACCAGTAATCTGATTTTTCATACAGAAGCTACTGCATCTTTATACTGCTTATTCGCTCTACTTTCAGTACACACAATGCCTCAACGTTTTTGTACGTGGTTTAGAGCGTCCATAAGGAAGGAACTGCTCTTAAAAAAGTTAGTCATAACTTTGTGTAGAAGTTAACTCATAAAGCAGGTAATACAAGGGATGATTAGACCTCCTGCAGGAATTAGTTACTATTAGTTTGCCTTCAAACTTCAATAATTAATGAAACCACTTCAGTGGGCATTGTTAATCTCCTTGCACATACATTAAGACACTTCTTGGCACTTGATAAACATATATCGTTATATTAGATTTAGCCTTCATTCCTAAGGCAAATAATTGCATTACATTTAGTCTATAAGGATGTACATGTATTAAGCATAGTTTGTAATATATGTCCCAATATACATTTGTATAACTGTTTTCAACCTAAAATGTCTATGCAACTGTTTTTGTATGTGCAGAGCTTACAGTTAAAAATCAGTAGATGAATCTCAAAGCATGGTATTAAATGGATACCCTCATAGTAAAAAATACTATTCTGCTATTTCTACAAAAGACTTTCATTAGATTTTACTCTTGTGTAACAAAATCCAGGTAACCAGTCTATATGTTCAAGCAAGCACAAGCAAGCACACTCATCTATATGAAAAGTATTTATTCAGCTGAATTTCATGAGGGCTTTGTCTCAATCTCTGTTCTCCCAGATTATTTCACGTGCTTCCACAGCAGGGGCCTGTTTTTCCTTTCTGAGCTGTTAGCTATTTTGTACAACCATTTTTCAATCAAGTCAGTACTATATGCTAAATAGTCTCATCTCATGAAAACAGGATTGTTTTCATAATAAAATATGATCTTGGTAAGAGGAAGCGGGTCCCAGATGTGTGAGGAACTCCAAGGAGCACACACTCAGAATTCTGACACTGCATCCTGCTTTAGTTCCAAGTGATTTCACAGCATTTGACAGGAGTTCATCCTTGAAAAGGGAAGATACCATAACTGTAGACTGGTAAAAAGGAGACAACAACCAGTGCACTACAGGTACTGCAAGGTAGTGATTTTCAACCTGCACTCTGACCTGCTTCTACAGGGCTGCAAAAGATAGCAGAGGAAAACGTCTATTTATATTGTACGACAATGTACACATAAGACTTCTAAGAGGATACACTTCCAATGGAAAATGTTTAGGAGATCCACCAACTAGATTAAAAAAATTCAAAGTCACTCTTGGATAAATTCCTTCCTTTTTTTTTTTTTTAAATGACCCATAGTATTAAAAAGTATTCTTGCTAAAAAATGCAAACAAGATCCCAAAGAATAAGTTAGGTTTACTAAAATCATAAAGTCAAATCACAAAGTTTAAATTTGCTCAGTTATCTAAGAAATGAAAAGAGAATAATTGCACTGAGAAAGCCAAGTCAATTCCAAGGCAAGTCTTTTCTTACAGCTGTCACTTGATTTCTGAAGGCCTGTGGTAGTGGGAGTTTTCAGTATGCAAGTAACAGCAAAAAGTTACATCCAAGCAATATTATTTTCACTTTGAGTTTAAGAAAGAGTTAAGTACACCTCCACTCCTGAATTTTCAACTCCCAAACTAGCAGTACATTTGGTATGGAATAGAAGGAGCATGCCATAATTAAACAGTATTAAATCATTACTGTGGCCAATGGCTAGTTCATGAGGAAATAAAGGCAACATTTATTTTCCTTTTTAAAAATTTTAAACATTATTATTTGAAAATAGCATACCAATGGAACAGTTTGAGATATAGTATTTCATAATCACAACAACGTTCAGCAGATGATGTGCTAAGTCACCATCATTTTTTAAACAGCTGTAGCACTTTATCAATAGTCACGCTCCAGCTATGGTAATAACTAACCAGGGTAGAAATGCCTGATTGTAAACATCCACAAAAGGTTATCTTTTTCCTACTGCTAGCTGTGTTGCAAGGATTATAAATACTTATCTTCCATACTCTTGAAATAGCCTTTGATTTCTAAACAGATTTTTAAATTCTTTACAGATTGTCATACCTCTCTTTTCTCCAAATTTTAAGTTACTGGGAGCCTTCATTGAGACTTAAGTTCATCCACATGCCAGGAGCAGAAAAGAACCACCACAGAAGAATAGTGCTGTATGCTGCTGTTGTAATCAAGAACCTCTTTGTGCTACTGATACAGCCATAATTTTGAAAACTAATCTCTTGACAATTTCTGGTTTGTTCTGAAATCATTAATTTCATCTGCTGAAGTCTGTATCTCTACTTTCAGGCACTGTAGCTTAGTATAATGCAAGTTCATAGGATTCGTATGAGTAGCAGAAGTATAAATTATATTTGTGTATTTAATGTTTATAGTCTGGAAATTCAATTAAGTCAGAGAGTTTACAGATTGAAGCCAAGCTATCAAAGAGTCAGTCACACAGGATAACCAATGAGATTTCAATGTGTTCAGCAGTCAAATCTAATTGTCCTTCACTTGGAGCTATTCAGTCTGAAGTGAATGCTAAATTTTTACAAGGCCAGAAGTAATTAGAAAATAAGTACAAGGTGTGTCCAAGAGTGATTGTGCTGCTTTGTTACTTAAAAGCTTTTTAAAGCTTTTTGGTAAACTGCAAACAGTCCCTTCAAATTTACTAAATAAAATAGAGCTTTTTATAGGAGCAGTCCTGTCAATATTCAGCAAAAGTATTCAAACAATAAAAGGCTAAGATGTTGCCTAAAAAAAGTTTTCCTTGCTATAAACCTTAAATTCTTTGAAAAGTCAGTGATACTAAATTCATATGTTCATGTTTATACCACACTGGACGTCAGACAGTTTAGTCACTTTCATACTAAGTCTCCTAGAATGCACAACCTGAGGCTTAGCCACTATTATACAAAAAGTGTTGAAGAAATATTTTTTTAAAATGTATGTTAATTACAGGTTAATTTTCCCAGTCTGTGCAAGGCAAACTCTCCTCTTCATCCTCTGATTCAGGTGATGCTTCTTTAATTCGTCGCAATGCTTCATGGATGCTCCTTGTCAGAGGGTCAGTATCAGGCAGAATCGTAAAGGATTCTCTCAAAACATCTTTCTGCACTTTCTTCAGTTTCACCCCTTTCCTGATCTGTGCCAAGATGTTATTGCTATCATCTTCATCAGGAAAAGGAGGGAGACTTCTCTGCTCAACTTTTCTTAAGTGAAAGCTGCCACGTTTCAAGGAAGCCAGCACTTCATCCATCGGGGAACTCACTGCAGTAAACCAAAAGACCTTCAGCATTATTTTTACTAAATTTTATCAGTCTTTATTTATATTTTCTACAGACCAAAAAGTAGCCACATACCATCAATGTGATAATCCCATACCATAAGTATAATGGTAGCTCCACTATTGTTTTCGCCTCCAAATTTATCGTCCCTATTACCAGGTCAAAACTAGTTTATACAGACAATTATAATTTCTGAAACCGCTTAACCTCCTATCAGGCAGATAGTAAAACCTTTTGAACATGATGGCTTTCCTGTTTGCAGTAAGGAAAATAAAAATAGCTGCAACGAATCCAACACAATGAAAGTGTTTATTACATTATATTTCTTGACTTTGAAACTCAGGTAATGAGTACGTGTCTTAAGTATTGGACTGTCCATTCTCAGCACTGGCATTTTGTGACTGATTTTACCTACTGTATGACTACTACTACAAGCAAGTGAGGGAAGCAGCAGTATAGTGAACTGCAACAGCAAGCATCTTCCTGCTTCTCTGGATTCATGTATGTATTAGCACCTAGTCACAGCATGCCGATATAAATTCCCTTCCTTTGTAATTAATGAAAACAGAGAAGTAAGAGTTAAGACTTTATGACAAATCCTTTCTTTATCACCAATTCAAAACTAGTTCTCTGCAGAAATAAAAATCAGGCTTTGGCTCTTTGAAGAGCTACAAGTAGGTAAGATCTCTATCCCAGAGAATGCATTGTAATAAAGTACAACAGTCTGAAATAGCTTGCATACACTAGTACATGAAACGTGCAGCACATATCAAACAATAGATGAATATCCATCTCCAGTTCTTTTTTGTATATTGTAGAATACATTTTTAAAACCTGTTTTGCATTTATGAATGGGCTTTGTCCATCAGACTGATGGCCCAGACAGTTGGAATAGACACGAGGAAAACAGATATAAAAGAATAATACAGGACTGCACATTTGAAGGAGGAAGGAAGGATTGTAAAACATTTGTCTGTCATACAGAGACAAATTTCTGAAGCCACTTAGAGACTTGGAACACTTCAGGGAATACAGAGCAGCAGGTAGAGTGCTGCTGCAGACATTAACAATATTCTTAAGAGGGAAGATATAATTTGATTTTATATTTGTCATTTTATGATGTATATTAAATTGCACACCCAAGACATGCTTTATAAAAAATCGCAAGATAAAATGGGTATCGGAAAAATAAACAATAAGACTACAGAAAAAGAAAAATGGAGCACAGCAGCATCAAAATTGATAATGAACTTAAGACACTGTACTTGCGACCTGCAAGACTCATAAGAGCTTAAGAATTCTGTAACTATGCAGTTGCTTCAAGGGTTTTCAGTCATTTAAGGACAATTTAAAAGGAATCGCTCTTGTTTCTTTCTGATTGATGAAGACAGTTCTAATTTTGATTTTATCTGGATGAGGGAAAATGTTAATGGAGGGATGTTTTCTGTAGTTGTAACTGACAGAGCCAAATAGAATTTTTAATAAAATGTTATTACAGCCATATTATGGCAGTGCGAATCAGGGCCCATTTGAGGAGGGATGTCTCAGTGACATCCAGTAAAATAGTTCATCTGAGCGCTTTTGTAAATCCCATCTCTGATTTTCAAATAAAAACTTAGCTCCAATATAGCATGTTTCACCAAAACACCAGGATTATTTTGTTTAAACATGGCTGCCATTCTCTGCATTTTATATATAGGATAAACAGTTAAAAACAAGTAGCACAGAATCAACAAGTTGTAACAGATCTCCCAGCTCAGCCCTTTGCTCCATTCATTCTCCTCAATTTCCAAAGAAGTTTTTGATCTTTTAACTATTTATTAATGTGCTTTGCTGAATGATTACAGATTTAATTTCCAGTTGTAGTTAAACATATATATTCTTACTCAGCTCTCAAGGGTGCTTGAGGGTTTGTGGATTTTTGTTAAGAAAATTTGAAGAAACCTTGAAGATAGCATTCTCAAGGTTTCCTATGTCCCAAGACAAGTATTCATTTTACTATTTTTATTTATTTTTTAGTACTAAATTATGTAAAATTCTGTTATTAAAAAAACACTGCACCCTCAGGTGAAGCATATAATATTTGCAGTGCTGGCCGTAAATTAGATAGGAAAGGATTCTTTTAGGCAACGTTTAGCTCTATTTTCTAGATTGTCTAACGTGATATATCGTAGAATCCATTTCACAAGTGTTTTCAGTCTAGCTGAACAAGTATACCGCACGCTGTCATAAAGGTCCTAATATTTGTCTGAGTTGCTGACATTTGTCAACTGAAAAGGATTTAACAACTTTCCCATTAATAATTATACATGAATCACAGCATACACTTTTCTACAGAGCAATTCAAAAGAGGAACTGATGTGCCTTACAATTAAATACACAGAAATGAAAACATTACCTCTCCTCCTCTGTAAACCCTCTAGATCACCGGTCTTCTTAAGCTTCTTCTTGGCACTGACTAACTGACTGCTGTCAAACAGATGGGCTGGTGGGACACCAGAAGAGTGCTGGACTCCCTTCTCCTCACTCTGACGTTTAACAAAGCTGTCGCTTTTCTCTAAGGATTTCGTGGCATCTTCTTTGGAGGGCAACGGTGGAGGCGGAGGTGGAGGTGGTGGAGGCAAAGGGGGTGGAAGCGGTACTACAGTAACAGTCTCTGGTAGAAGCTCATTACTGGTGAGTGAAGAAGTACTAACGTGAGGCAGTTCAGAGGTAACACCATTGGGAGGTAACGAGATATCTTGAAGTTGTTCTAAGCTTGTGGATTCTTGCACTTGCAAAGGCTGAACTGCATTTTCCAATTCCACCTCTTCGCTTTTCTCTTGGATTTGTATGGTTGCTGGCAAGGATTGAGGCTGATCGACACAGGACACTGAGCTGGCTGCACATTTTCTTCTCGCATGAGCCAGCCGTAGTCTGGTTGATTTAAGTATTACTTGCCCAGGGTACCGCTGAAGTGAGTAAGTCATTGACAATTAGATCAGTACATGAAACACACTATTCTATATACTAAGTACCTATCATTAGGGTTTGCCTTTCTGACAAGTAGAATTCATCTGCTATTTTCATTCATTTTGCTCTGGATGTAAAAACAAAGCAAATATATCCTCATCTTTATGCAAAAATGATCCGTTTTCTTAATTTTTATTCTTGGCTAAGCCACAATTTACATGTGATTGTTCTAGTCGGGGATATACATGGGTTAGAATTAGGATTTCACTAAGAACCAGATTGTACATTCAAAACTGTTTTTTCTGAAAACAAAAATCTGAAATTCCCTCTTGCTTTCCTATTCTAAAACTGGTCAATGGCTCCCTCTGCAACAAAGTCCTCTCTGACCTAATACACTGGCCTTAGATGTGAATCATACTGCTTAAAAACGTATCTCTTGAAAACATGAAACATTTCGAGACTTTCCAAAGTATTTTTATTTCGTTTTTAAATTTGCTGCCTCAGTATCTGTCCTTCCATATAGTTTTATCCATAGCTATTTTTATACAAAAATTTTAACTGCTTCTGAAAGACAGGCCTAATACATTTTACACAATTGTGGTAGGCCTAAAGCAATAGAGATTGTAACAATATAAACATGCTTATACATAAAGTCATTCATGAACAGTTGCTAGTTCAAGTAAGTAAGTTTGCTGTAATTTACAGAAGCTATGCAATTCAAAACCTTGCAAACAATGAGGATACGAAGAGTGTACTGCTGAGCAAGACAGCTTTCCAGTAAAAAACTTCTCACATCTGTATTTTTTAATGTCTTCAGCAAAACCAGAAAAAGTCTTCACTAATTAATACAGTCTGTTTTCTTGCACTTTCACCCCTTTTCTTATTCTCTCCCCTTCATTCCATCTTCTATCCATTTTCTGATAATACTTACATCGTAATAGGAAGGGGCAGGTATTGGCAGGTGTTCTAGCCATCAGTGGTAGTGGAGATATGTCAGATGGTAATGCTCTTTGTGGGAAATACTATTTAGATTATATGTCTTTTAGGAATGTTTGCTAAGTGTCTTGTCACAAGGTGTAGATGTAAGAGTGAACAGAAGCTTATTACAGCACTGGGAATGTTAAGGCCAGAGGAATTTGTTACCACCAATACAGTATTTTGTTGTAAATTTTCCAAAGAACAGTTAACTATGCAATGAAAGAGAATAGCTAATAGCATAGTATAGTCCTGGAATGAGTGAAAATCTCTTTTGCAAAAGAAACTGGTGGAAAAGAACAACTCTTCTTCTGTTACCTGTTTAAATGTGCGAAGTCTGTCCAGTGTTTTCTGTCGTTCCTGACTAACCCAGGAACTCTTTCTTTCCTCTTCATCTTGTAATTGATCTCGCTTCTGAGAAAATACATGGAAAACATGTAAATATTACATCCAATGCTATGTTTAGCATCATTAAAAAAACTGAATTAAAATAACTCTTCTACTAATTGTTAGGAATTACCTAACAATCTGCTTCTCAAATAAACATATTTCTGAACTTCAAGACTTGGCCTTTGTCTTCCACTTAAAAAATATTATGCCTTTCATGTTTTATAATCTCGAAGAAATGCAAACCTCAGTAAAGAAAGATTTCAATCTGGAATTGGAACACTTGAAGACTTACTGCCTTGAAAGATGACAAATACCTAGAGACGTGACAGAATATTATACTGAAAAAAGCCCCCTTAAATTAAAAATGGTATAAATTAGCCAGACAGCAAGCCAGTATCCATTTTCTCTCATTCCAAGAACAAAATGAAGTCCAAATTGCAAGGCTGCAATTTAAAACACGTCATATTAGTATTTTCACAGCGCAAGAAATTACAGAACTCAGTACCACAAAGTTTTAAATCCAATACTGAGCAAATTAAGTAAATATTTTCGTTATAATTTACAACAGTAAATGAAAATTTTGTATTTAATTAACTTAAGATGTCATTATTTAATCCAGCTTGATTTTCTGTAATCTTACTTCAATAAAGATTTGAAGCTCTTTCTTGCAGCTAAGACAGTTGTATTTTCCCTTGTTTGGGGATCTTACCTCAGTGAAAACATGTATTTGGATCCACCTCCTTTAACTAGTCATCCATTTTCACAAAAGTTCATCAAAGTTACTACATCTTTGAAACAAAACACTACTCTTCAGTCAAATTTATTGAAAGTGGATGCTAGTTATCAGATGGCAAAAGCTCTTGTATGCAAGTTCAGAAGTTATCAGGAAAGTGATAGAACAGATGACTATAAAGAAAAAACCCTGACCAGAAACACAGCTTTAATTCTTAAGACTCACAGCATTAAGTATTACTTTTAAAAGCCCATCAAAAATTCCCATGACTTTTGTGAACTTTTATTGTCATTCAGTCAACACAAAAGCAGTGTTTGCCTGCCTGCCATTTTCAGAAGTCAGCTAGTGGCCTGGTGTCCTTCACAAAAAGCCAGCTCCTGTGATTTGGAAGGAAGTAAGTACAGAGGCATTAGGGAGAGGAAGAGGAGAACATGTCTGAAAAACAGTAAGGATAGGAAACAGGAAAAGGTGAAGAGGAATAGAAGCATGTGGTGAAAAGAAAATAACACAGCAATGGGGCAAAGAAGTTAAAACAAAAGCATAAAGAAAAGATTATAGCAAGAAGAAAGGAAGAGTTCTACCACCACACCTGCATGCTACATATGCAATCAGGTCAAACTTTTCCTGAAGCAGTCTCAAACTGAAGAGTTTTTTTGTTTTGTTTTGTTTTGGGTTTTTTTGTTTTGTTTTGTTTTGAAATAAGAATAGTGAAATTGCATTTCTTATTTGGTTTCAGGTTTGGACACCCTTGAGGTTATCTCTTCAAAATCCTTCATGAAAACCAATGGCTGAAAATCTATTTTACAATAATAGTAGAAATTTTAAGTCACATTAATAATAGAAGAAAAACAAAAAAAATTCGCATAAGGTTCTTTATGTAATGCAAGTGGGCAACTCCATGAAATAAATAACGAAAAAGCCTTGTAGTGTTTGAGAGACAAGAAAGCCCTTCAGCTTTGTCAAGTCTTATTTTTAAGAGTGATAAATGGACTACAATCCACATAGCAAATTCCTTCGCCTTACTGTAAGAACTGAAAAAAAAAAAATTTTTTCTAAGTTCCTGAAAGAGTATGCCAATACGTACTGTCTTTCACAAGTAGCCTTTTCATAAAATAAATTATGCAGCTGACTTCCTGGACAAATGTATCAATGTTAAAAATGTGTAAGGATGAAATAGAATCACTTTCACTAATCTAATTGAAGCCTAAATTAAAGAGGCTTGGATTTCAATGCATCTTTGTCAGTGATCTTTATTAAATATTGATACTATATCAGTTCCCAAGACCTAGCCCAGAATTTGAATATTCTTCAACATACAGTCTATTATGTTCAGCACAGGAGTCAGACTAGCTAGCCTATTCTCTGCAATAAGACTGTGCAGAGAATCGTGGAGCATACAGCTGGAACTACATCTTTATACAACACAATTCAAGTGATTTCTTTTGTAGAAAGACGAAAAATAATGAACAAGCTTACTAAGATTCAAGAATAAATGTGTATGTTTTCCTTACTCATTTCAGTGTATCTGACACTGTACTCAGAGATATCTGAAATCACCTATGTGCATGTAATAACAAACTGCATGCAGCCTAACCTTAGCAGTAATCACTTAAGATTGTGAACCTAGCATTAAAGAACTGTTTTATTTGCTTGGGTTCAATGTCATCCTAACACAGCTATATACTCCCCCTTACCAGTATAATACGATACAGAAATCCATGGTGCAAAGGTCAGGGATATACACCATCTTTTTAGAACAGCTATCACTGCAAACACTCTCCTAATTAATGTATAACGAGGAATGCAAGCTATTAACTAAAGGCTAAACTCAACACCAGAAAACTTAAACTTACTAGCTGAACAGTATGGTGCATTTTGTATTCCTCCTCACTCTGGTGACGCTGCTGGATCTTTTCATTATGCTTTGCAATACAGATCTCCTGTAGAGACATAAAATGTTATCTATAAAATATGAATTTCAAATATCGATTTACAGGGTATAATGTCATATTTAACAAATAGCACTAAGAATTAGAAAAATAAAAATTACAAAGCCTATCTCAGACAAGCTAAATAAAGCCATAAAATGGAGACAAAATCAAGACAGACAAACCCAAACCTATCACTTTTAACTGCCAAAAGAATATACACAAGTAACAGCTGCTTGAAAAGTCTGTTCTACAATACCAATACAAAAGTGGCAATAAACACCAATTTGTTAAATACTTTATAAAACCCTTGTGTAACTCCGTGTATTTGTATACATGGATAATAACTAACTCTCAAATATACCACATATTTCTGTTTATGCAATGAGGCATCTTCCTATTTACAAGTATCAGTTCATCTTTTGCATGTACAATCTGCAAGCACAAACATTAATAAAGTTGTTACAATTTTATGCATGCACAAGCAGGTTCACTTATAATACCAAGTTCACATCTGTAACATCTGGTTTAAAAACAAGCATTTATTACATTGCCTGCAAATAAGAACAGGTTAAAAAAAGAAACAGGCCACATAACAATAGATGACAAGAAACAGAATGACACTCAAACGTCAGGTAAATAATATAAAAAGAACTTAAGTATCAGTTACAAAGAAAAGGCAGGTGCAGGAATTTTGAGTAGTGACAAGACAGACAAGTTTATAGGACAATACTGAGGGCCAGGAAATCAGACAGTATGGGCATGAAATTACGCCCGGTACAAGCACCACACAGCACTAGAACAAAGTTGGATGTGTAGTTAGAAACAGATCTCAACGGCTGTGTAAGAGGGGGCAGTCTTAGGAAGCAGTTTAGAGTGTGACTGCAGCTAGAAGATCACTGAAGTGATGGGCTTCCCAGGCATCAGTCCCCTTGACTTACTGGGTGGAGCCAGACAGGAGCTTTGCCACTGAAAGCACTGCTTGGGGCAGCTGATGGAATTATCAGCCATCAAGCAAGACACTACAGTAGCGGCAGAAGGATACAAAAACAAGGAGGAGAGGCATAAAAAGCCCACAATTTTGGACACTTGGAAGTGCAGAAAAAGCTACACTCTCCTACAAGCTGACTATAGACATGCTGTGATCACATAAAAAGGTAGCCAGAAATACCATGCTGTCTTGAATGTTTCTAAACAGTAAGACCATCAATGTTGCTACCGTATATAGGTAGCACTCTGACAAGAGCGTAAGTTTCTGGGGAAATACTGTCCCAGCTTCATTAGAGGTGTATATATATAGCTAAACGCTGCTGGGTTTTATGTTTGTTTGTTTGTGGAGTTTTTTTCCCCGATGAAAAGAGTTTAATTAATACAGCTGGAAAAATTAATCCATTTTATTTGTAACTGCAAAAGTACAAACTACCTCATTTCTGCATTTCAAAGACACAGCAATAGCTTAAGAATATTATTAAAGAATCTGAAATACTTTTGTAATACTACTACTGATTTACCTTTGTGGTTTATTCTATATTTACATGTTAAGTTCAATTACAAGTCTTCTAAGGTAATGAGAAATGTATGTTACGAGATATAAAAAAGTATTATAAAATAATGAGAAAACATATGTTAGGTTTGGGTTTTTTGGCATGTCTCATAAATACTTGGGGGGCATACTTTTATGAAACATTTTCTCTTTAGCCATCAGCATTTAAATCTTTCTGATTAAGAGCAATAGCAATAATGAAAGGTATTTTAAGCATGTAAAGAGGATAAACCAGACCAAAACATATTTGGTGCTGACTTTGTACTAATAAACAAGCCTCTTTAATGTAATTAGATCTCTATGACTTGAAATAATAAAAAAGACTAGGAAGGGCTGAAAACATGTTGCAGCACAGGATTAGAAATCTGAATCATCTTAACTAATTACAGAAATGGTCTGGAAAAAAAAAAGGTTGCAATTTCTTAGGGACAAATGCAGGGTTCTACTTGTGGACAGATTAAGTGACTGCAAACAAAGGATGAAGAAAAAAAACCAGCCAGGTGGCAGCATTAAAGAAAATTATCTGGATGATTATGGCAGATGACAAATTGAACATAAACCAACAAACTCTAGCAAAAAAAGAAAACATCGTAATTGGATGTATGAGCAGGCATACATCCTGCTGTACAGGTGAAGTAGTCCTTCCTTCTCAGCACTGGGAAAGCAGGAGCATTATGTCCACTGAGAGCCACACTTCAAGAAAGACATTGACCAACTGTATGGAATTGAGATAGCATCAAGAAGTAATGTTCATTTCTCTTTTCAGAATTGAGAGAGCATCAAGAAGTAATGTTCATTTCTCTTTTAATCACCTGATATCACAGTAACAGTCAATAGATTGTACATCTATTAAAGAGGCAAAAAGGGAGAGCTGAGGAACTACTTCAACCCTCGTCACTGGATAAGCTACCATGATGAAGACTAGTAACATGTAATATACATAAAAGAGACCTGCATTAGTATTATATTTAACTAGTTCCAGTGAGCCTTGCTTTCAGATTGAAAAGCATCCCAATTAAAAGGTTAGCTTCTCATTTAGGAAGCTCAGTATGTGCAGAAACTGTATTTTACTATAAACGTTCTGCGTAGTTATGCCCTTATGTTGTTGTTGTAGTAGTAGTAATAAT